CTCATCACCGACGCAAAAGCGTTGTACGACACCTACCACCGTGATGCCTTCAACCATGGGTCCAATGACAAACGGAGCGCTTTGGAGGTGAAGGTCACTCGACAGCAGGTCGAGAGCTTTGGTGGCAAGCTGAAATGGGCTTCTTCAGAACGCCAATATGGCGATGGCCTCGCAAAGCTGTCTGCCAGACAGTTGTATACGGGCCCCGTTTCGCGCCCCGCGCCGTGGCCATGGATTCCTGGCGACGATGTCGCTTTTCTTCGCGCCTCAAGCCGCTGCAACTGAGGTTTCCAAGCCGACCTCGAGCTTCACAGGCTGGTGGCCGACGCTACTGGCGGCGTTCCTGATCGCCCTTGTGATTGGATTCTTGATGGCCCGCCATTTTACTTGAACAAGATCCAGAACCTCGAAAGGTCCGTCATGGAGGCGCTGAGCATCAGAGACCAAGCACTGGCGTCAATGGACACGCGCCAGATGCGTGCTCATGAGGCCCACACGGCCAACCGTGAACTGCGAGGAGCACAAGAGCTTTGGCAGGAAGATTTGACTCGTGCCCAGCTGGAAGAAGTTCGAGCCCTACATGCCCAACAAGCTGTGCTACCTCTGACACCAGAGGAAGAGGCCGAGAGACGCATTGCCATGGAATCGGAAGCCCGATCCGCCTTGACGGATGCAAAGGCCATCCTCAACCGAGCTCTACGAGAGCTGACAGAACATGCCCGCATGTGCCCGATTCGGGATGAGATCTTCATAGCCCCGCGAGGGCGAGTGTGGCACCTCAGGCCTGACTGCAGAGTCTTGGTCAACCAGGCCACCGACGAGAGGATCTACCAATGGTGCACGACCTGTGCATCAACGGAAATTCCGCCAAATTCAGGATCCATCCGAACACTCAAAGAACCTTGGCGGATGACATCGGCGTGCTTTTGGCCCACCATGGAGATGTTTTGTAACAAGCTCGTACACGCAACGAGCTTGTCCTCCTGCCGTGGATTATTATGGCCCTTGGCCTGCAATGCAGCATGCTGGTTTGGTGCCCGAAGGACAGGGCTGAAGTTGAACGGCCTCGTTCGACGTGTTTTCCCTTCCCCCCTGTGTGAATTGCACTCCATGCAATCATGTCAGGCCGTTCGAACCGTCGCGAGCCCGCTCGCCTCAAGCAGGGTGGGTCGCGCTACTTGGAGCGCTGGTTGCGAAATGGCCGACTTCGCGTGCGGCTTCCCTTTCGTCGAGTCGGAACCTCGTGCGTCCGCACTTCTTGATCATAGCACTTGCAATATACTAGATACCGCACTTGCTCTCATTACGTGGAAAGGGGTCTGGCAAATCACTTGAATCCACGTGCTTGAGTCGATCTCCCGACGGGGTCGAACAGTTGGTCAAAAAGGTCCACAGCAATTGAACATGAGATATACCAGATACAGTATGATTTACATGGCCCTCAAATGGCAGGATGTGTGTCCAAAGTTAAGAGGAAGGACGGTTGAAGATCTGAAGATCCCCGATTGGTACTCATACTTGCATGGTAGGATCCAAAGGTCCTTTCTTGAGAGAATCAACACGGCTCTTACCTCACTGCGCTTTTGGGAGCTTTCAAGGTAAGCTTTGGTGTTCAGCGTGTGCTCAAGAATGGTCTTGGAAATCTAGACATATCAACTCTATTCGCACGAATTGTCAATCCACCACCTGATCCTCCACATTGCGTCAGCATCCTCCCACATTTTCACGCCACCCCTTTTGCACCATCTCCAGATACCACCACGCACTCTACGTCAGCCGATACGTCGACGTTTTCATGGCAAGCAAACCATAGCAATTGCAAGTCAATCAAGCAATCAAGGCGCTCCAGTTGCTGTCTCTCAGGCCTCACTGACAATCCTTCTAGCAGTTCGGGATTGTCAAACAGACGCGGCGTTGGTTGAGCATGTGTGCACCCAGAGTGATCTCGCGGCATGCGTGGTTGCCCTTACAAACCACAACATGCCACAACTACTTTTGGGAGCTCCCAAGGTTAGCTTTCCTTTTTAGCTAGACCATCCAATAGACCAAACAACTGCAAGAAAACGCACATTATATACACCCAGAAAGATCAGAAAGCGATACAGCGATACACACACACACACACCAGCCACAAAAGCAATCCACAATCCACGGTTTATACGGACTCAAAAACCCTTAGGCTACATAGGCTACTGTAGAAAAAAGGCTGAAGGAATCCCCTGTGGCGGGACTGTGTGCAGACGCTCGCAGTGCCGCAAGCGTCTGCAGGTGGCGCAAATCCGCCCGCGCCGAAGGTGCTGAGGCGTTTTATAGGGCACGCTTGGAATCCGTTAGTATCGTCAGTATACTATAGCTTTAGCTAGGGGGGGGCATTTTCGCTCTAGAATCCTGTGTTTTTTCACGTTTTTGGAACCGGCTTAAAGTGCTTTCGTGCTAATGTTGGGTATCTTGAAGGCTTTAGGGATGCAAGAAATGCGAGTTTCTGCTTTGCATCATCTGTATCACCCGAATCATCTGAGCGGCGCACGAAGTCCCTATCTAATGGACGCGTCTGCGCGATAGGGACTAGAACATCCGGGAACGTGGCTGGCCCGGAGCAGAGATGAGCAGGTCAGGCCCCGGAACGGGTACGTAAGATAACCCTAGAAGTCACTATCTAACGGACATGTCTGCGAGATAGGGACTTGAACGTCCGGGTACGTAGGTGGTCAGGAGCAGAGATAGGCAGGTCAGGTCCAGGAACGGTAATATTATCTCCCGAGCACAGCTCCCATATGGTCGAACACAACTCCAGAAGTCCCTATCTCAAGTACGCTTCCTCGAGATAGGTACTTGAACGTCGTAAACATGGTCTAACGAAGGCTCCCAAGCGACTGGAATAGCGTGAAGATATTGTCTAACCGAGCGCTCGAAGGCACTATCGAAAGGGCGTGTCTGCGAGATAGGGACTTGAACGTCGTAAACTGGTACGCAGCATAGCCCTCGAAGTCCCTATCTAATGGACGCGTCTGCGCGATATAGGGACTAGAACATCCGGGAACGTGGCTGGTCCGGAGCAGAGATAAGCAGGTCAGGCCCCGGAACGGGTACGTAAGATAACCCTGGAAGTCACTATCTAACGGACATGTCTGCGAGATAGGGACTTGAACGTCCGGGTACGTGGGTGGTCAGGAGCAGAGATAAGCAGGTCAGGTCCAGGAACGGCAATATTATCGCCCGAGCAAGCCTCCCATATGGTCGAACACTCTCAAGTACGCTTCCTCGAGATAGGTACTTGAACGTCGTAAACATGGTCTAACGAAGGCTCCCAAGGGACTGGAATCGCGTGAAGATATTGTCTAACCGAGCGCTCGAAGGCACTATCGAAAGGACATGTCTGTGAGATGGGGACTTGAACGTCCGGGTACGTGGTGGGTCCGGAGTCTCCAGTGTGCTTCCCCGAGATAGGTACTTGAACGTCGTAAACATGGTCTCACGAAGGCTCCAAAGGGAGTGGAATAGAGTGCAGAGATTGCCTAACAGAGATCTAGAAGTTACTACCGAAAGGACGCGTCTGCGCTTGAACGTCGTAGACTGGAATAGATTCCCCCCTAACGTAGCTAACCCGTTTCTGATAGTCGTGGCGACCCTTCTGCAGCACTCTGCCTACGTTTCAAAAAATGGACCCATTTCCTGCCTTGATGAAACCCGTCCTAAAATGGCTGCAGTCTTTGAGCCCAAGCTTGTTTGAGAAGGACAGCGAACCCTACCTGGATCAACAACCCCATACTGTTTGCATTGCGTGTGTTCCACCATGTCATCATCTGCCATGTTCGTTTCATACTGCAAACACCTCCCGCCTACAGATCCTTAACCGGCTCTGCGGCATCAGCCCCTAAATGGCTGCGGTCTTTGAGCCCAAGCTTGTTTGAAAAGGAAAGGAAATTGCCAGGGTCAACCGTCCCATCGTGATACCTCCGGCAGTGGTGGCGGCCCTTCAGCAGCCACGATTACTTAAAAAGGCCCTTGAACCATCGAATACCACATCATCCCTTCCCCTGATGACTCTGCTTCCCTCTGCTCCAGTTGGACCTTATATTTGCGACGTTCCAGGCGATATGGAAGCTATGTTCAGCCACGTTGAGGGAGAGCCGTATGGACGCTATGTCGGAAACTTCCTTTCATACTCACTCCCTTGGCTCCAAGAGCACAAGCAGTTCGGGCTTCCTTCTGGGACTCGGTGGATGTATTGTCCCCTTCCATCTGGTGCGGGCGGTTACCGTCGCGAAGCGACGTGAATGTCTGAGCCCACCAACAGTGAACCAATAGTGCTCAGCTCGAAGCCTCGATGCAAAGTGTTTCGAAAACTTCCCAAGGGCGCCAAACAGCAAAAACTACCAAACACCATGAGGTGTGGTGGTTAAAGGATGTCCTGGCCTCTTGCTTTGCTTTGAAAGGTTACCCCCACGCCACTTGAGTTTGACATTTTGTGGAAGGAACGTTCAAAACAAAACGTCTTACAAGTCAAGGTGCTGAGGCAGGTCCAGCGCAAGGGGCATAGGTGAACACAAGTGGAAAAGCCTTTAGCGATCTCAGAACTTACTGTCCTGAGTCCTAGACACAGGCAGAGAGAGAGAGCGAGAGTGAGAGAGAGAGAGAGAGTGAGAGAGAGAGAGAGAGTGAGCGAGTAAACATTATTTTTAGCAGGTTGGGTCCCGAGCTTTTTCCCCAAGAGCGAGGCTTGGGGATCTTAAGTGGAGCAAGTAAGTAGTGGAGCCAGGTTCCGGAGCAGGTCCGGAGCAGAAAAGTTCCAACATCCAAGTTTCCTGACTGGTTTCCCGTCCAGGTTTCCAGACTCACTACTGACTCATAGTTTGCCCCTATGGCCCGGGTTTCCCGACTCTGCCATTCGAGTTTCCTGACTCGGTTTCTTGATTGGAATGGTCTCCTGTCTCACTCTGCCTCGATAGCACAAAAGGGACAGCTGACAATGTCGGTTTCTACGCAGCTCAGCTTTTCAGGATACAGCTCAAGTTCCCCATCATTCTGCCAAAGTTTATGGCTGCGCACTTAGGATGATGCATTCAACTATTGGAATCCCATCATGCAACTCACGACCTAGGTTGGGAGGCAGCTTTCTCAGCAGGACTTTTTTCGGTACTGGAGGCGATCCGCCTTGCATAGAACAGACGCACGCCTCTGCAGATTAAAAACAAAGCTTTGTTTTGATCAAAACAAGGTTCAAGGACCTTACAGCCTTCCAATACATTTCTTGAAAGATGTTTTACTGTTCATCTATCTACTTGGGGGTCACAACATGGAGCAGTGGAACTATTGGGAACAGACCACCAGGCTGATGCGGACCTGACGGTTCGTCCAAGATGGACCATGTAAGCTGTGCCCCCCATCCATATCCTGGTCAACGGAGCACGCTCGCAGAATCACACACGCTGTGGAATCGTTCGAACATTTTTCAAGCTAAGCTGCTAGTGCTAGTGCTAACTGCCAGACTTCGTTTGTTCCGACTGACCCAAGACTCAGTAACAGCCAGGCTTGTGTGATCACTCTCAGTACCCTCAGTTGTCACTTCGCGCCGCATGTTGTTGATGTTGAACACGCTGCAAAGACTGCTCCAACTCACCCTTGGATTTGGCGAGGGAAAAAGACGGATCTGATATATATATATACAGTATATATTTATACAGATACTATATCTACACAGGGACGCATGTTTATTCCCTGTTGAGGGGGGCACGCTCGCACAGATCCTTAGATCCTTGATTCTCAGGCAGCAGCATTTCGTTCTCAATGAGGCAGGCAATTGCTAGGTGCGGTGGTTTGACGGATTGGTGAAAGCATGCATGGTCCAGGTGACGTGCGTTGTACACCTGGCAGAGCGGCTCCGTGGCCCGATGGTCAATATCGCCAGGACCGACCTTAGCTTCCAAGTAGTTTCCATGAAGGTTACCGAAGGTTCCATGTTTGGTCGTCATGCAGGTCCATACCTTTTGGCGGAGCCTTCAGATTGCCACTAGCTCTGCGGGAGTTCTTGCTTCACTTGTGCGCTTGACTTGAAGCTAACATCCATATAAGCCATCAGGCATCATGGGGTCGACAGCAATGCGGACAATTTCGTTTTGGCGACGGCCTGACACACCGTCAACAATCGTTTGCCGTGTTCTGACAGCTTGAACCTACTGCACCTTGCCCTCCAACCCTTGAGTCTTGAGCGTGCGCAGTGACGTCAGGTCTCTTCCTTGGCAGATGGGCAGATTGATTTGCAAGGCGCTTCGCCAGCTCTTCATATTTCTTGATGAGTCGGTGTGCTTGGAGACCTGGCAAAGAGATTGTCAACAGCACAATCTACAATTCAGTCAGGAAAAGACACTGATGCTCTTTCCCTGATGCGGGTTGAGGCAGGGGAAGCATCCCAAAGTGCAACAAAAGTCAACTTGCTGGGTGTGTTGGTGCGAACAAAGAACACTGGGCGGGGTCTGAACTAGCGTTCCCACTGGTTCAGAAACCGGCGTTTAGAGACGTCTTTTTGGTTTGGTTCGGTTGGGTTCAGTAACCGCTTTGGTCCGCAACTGGTTTTGTTGGTTTCAGGAGTTTGGCTTTGCAACTTGTTTTGGCTAGGTTCTGGGGTGCAAATCCCGTTGACGTTGGGAAGGGCTTGTTGTGAGCTGTTCAAGTTGCGAGATTTTGTGTAGGATAATTTGATTTGGATGATGTGCAAGGTTGGAGAAATCTCCCTCTCTCTCTCTCTGTATATATATATATATGGATTTAGATTGATCTTGGTGTTCGTAACAGTAGCAGAGCCTGTCTTTGCCAGATGCGATTGGTAGCCTGTTTTCAACATCGCAAGTCTTTGTATGTTGCCTTTGTCTTCACTGCCGTGGGGCGCCAGCCAAATCTCGTGGGCGGCGCGTGTCTCCGCGCTCCCACCAAGCATTTGTGGCCGTAAAAGCCAGTTGAATGTCACAAATCAAAGAATGTGCCCTAGGAGAGTGAGTTGTTGCAGCCGGAGCTCGTCCAAGAAGCTAACCGACCGCACGTTCATGTTGCAACGGACTTGCTCATGAGTCACGCGTTCTATACTCTAAGAATTGTTGCGCCCCAGGAAGGGTTGCCAGCATCGGATGTGGAATGAGTCAAGAAGCACTGGTTGCCTTTGCGTCAAGCAAAGTGTGCGCAAGCTGTACATCAGTTTACTGTACTGACCACGCAAGCAGAGTAGATGCTAAGCTTGCGATCTGTAACAGCTTTAGCGTGTTTCCAAGCCCACGTGAGCGTTTTGAGTGCCTGCTGAGCATATCTGATTCCCGAGAGCGCCTGAGCGAAGGGTTCTTCTAAAGAAAGAAGGTGCGCGACATATCATCACAACATATTTCAACTTACATCCGCGCATATCCAGAGTTGCGCATGCACGTGCACTACATGACATCGCAACTTACATCCGTAGACATCCAGAATTGCGTATCCCACACCAGCGCATCTTCACATCTGCGCATCTCTACATCTCACAGCTTGACATCCGTACATATCCAGACATGCGCATCTTCACATCTTCATGCGCCTACCTCTTTCTTTCTTTCTTTCTTTCTTTCTTTCTTTCTTTCTTTCGCCGCAGGTCAAGTGTCAAAAGGTGGAATATTGCAGTTTCAATTGGCCCACAGCAGCCTTCTCGCTCGAAATGAGGGTCAAGTGTCCAAAACTTTGGGAATATTGCGGTATCAAAAAGTCTGCGGCAAACCTCTCGCAAGTTCCCGTGGGAAACCCCATTTGCAAGGCTTGTGCTAGGTGATGAAGTGATCCAGAACAATGTCAAGACTGCAATGCCGTTGAACTGGGGTAGCAGGCTCGAACCTGGCTCAAACGACGTTGAGAATTTGCCAGATCCTATGTGCCATCCGGAGCCTTGCAATTGGACTGTAGGCAGAAGTTTGAAGCGCTTGAAGGAACAAACCTTTTTCGAACAACGTGAACGAACCTTTCGGAGAGCAGCTTCAAAGCTTGAGCTTTTCTGAACTTGGATCCTGAAGCCAGCACTGTCGGACGTCAGATTATGTGCGAGCCTGAGATGTCTGACATCATTGTGAGGTCAGTTATGGGAACCAAGTCACCAAACACTGTCATGAAGAGAGCAAACGCCTTGACTATGTTCTATAGGTGGAATGTCGTCACTAATGAGGCTGAGTGCATCCCTTTTCATGAAACTGTGTGTTGGCGGTATGTTCAGCAGCTTGCCATTGAAGATGCGCCCGCAACCAGAGCAATGTCCTTCGTCCAGGCATTAAGGTTGGCTGCCCATATCCTAGGCTGTGACGGAGCCATGCAGTGCTGTTCATCTAGGCGAATCGAAGGTTCGGCCGAACTTCAATACGCCAAGAGGAGGAAAACATGTCAGGCTCGTCCTCTGACAGTGCTCGAAGTCACTCGTTTGCGCCAAATTGCTGCTGAGCAGTCTAGGAATGTAATAGACCGTGTGTTTGCTTCCCATGCCTTGATGGCGTTGTATGCAAGAGCAAGGAACTCAGAAATTTTGAATGCATTGAGAGCGTGTTGCATGACGCAGGCTCTCATGGGGGATATGTGCAAGTCAACACACAGCATCAGAAAGGAGCTCGGACCGCCGAAAAGAAACCCCTTTAAGTTGCCGATCATTGTTTCCGCTGAAGGTATTCGCAACCCTTCTTGGCTTTTCTATTGGGTCCAGAATAGAAAGGAAGCAGGTTTGAAAGTTGCTGGAGCATTCGAGGGTCCTCTGTTGCCAGCGCCAGCTGGGACACAAAACCTGCAATGGTCATCGAGACCAGTGACTAGCACTGAGATGACCGACTCGTTACGCGCACTTCTTGACTGTCAGGATAAGAGTTTAAGTTGCCACTCATTGAAAGCGACGTTGTTCTTGGCTTGCAAATAAATGCTGAAGTGCCAAGAGAACACAGGAGACTATTGGGAAGGCATAGCGATGCCGTTGAAGGGTCAGATGCTGTGTATAGCCGTGACCTTGCTTTTGCTCCGGTTCGTGCCTTGGAGAGTGTGCTGAGGATGGTCAAGGAAGGTGTGTTTAACCCTGACGCGTCCAGGGCCAATTTTTTCACAGGTGGGGGGAACCCGTTGATCCCAGGAACACCAATGCCGTTTGCCTCTCAGCCTCGCGCGCCTGCCATTTTCGTAGCCCCTGTGGTTGAAATGGATGAAGCAAGGGCTGAAGCCCCTGTCAAACACGAGCATCTTGACGCCCAACAGTTTGGTTCGTTGATCCCAGACGCTGTGATTGAGAACGCAACGACCTCTGAGTCGAGCGCCTCAGCAAGTGGCAGTGAAGGCGCAGACTCTGATGATGACCAGAAGCTCAACAATGAGGCTGGGAGTGGCGTGCCGAGGCCTAGCGAGGCCATGGACGTGCTGGTAAGAAACAAGGCATCGAAAATCACCCATTGCTGTCCTGACATGTTGAGGTACGCCGGGCAAATTCCGGAAGCGCAGTGGGAGGTAGTTGCTGGTCAAGTGACAAAGTGTGGACGCAACATTGATGAACGTTTTGAGATCATCAGCGTCATCCATGACTGGACAAAGAAGTGCAGAGTGTGCTACAAGAACAACAGATGCCCGAAAATTAGCTGAACTTGTTTACTTGTTCTGCCTCATGTGAGGAGGCGTGTGTGTGTCACAAGTTGCATGAAGTGGGTGGTCATGTGAAGCAGAATGACGGATGAAGGTAGAAATGGGCTGCGCGTGCAGTGTGTGTAAAAAACAGAACGCGGTGCGTTCGAGGTGTCGAACTCGTGTGGAGTTCAGACTAAGAGCAGCGTGTGCTGCGGACGTGAAGTCAGTTGCGTTAGGCTTCATGTTTTGCATGTATGAAGACATGTGGAGTCATGTCTTGTTGGTTTCCTTTTTCTTTCTTTGACTTGCGCATGTGAAGTGCAAACGCTGAGATTGGAGTGATCACGCCGTGTGCCGGCATGTAGGCTCAATGTGTGAACCAAGAAGAAAAGTCATGGTGCGTGTACAAACAATCGTTTTGCGATTGGCTTATGCGCCTCGCTTTTTTTGTGGCACCTGTGGAACAACTAAGGTCTGTTCAGGTCTGTGCTGATGTGATCAACGCCATGCATCTGTGATTTTTCTTTGAACTTGAATGAACATGTGGATTACTAGTTTGATTTGCTTTCACAAAGCAAGAGAGACTTGCACTCATTTACTTTTGAATCTAGGCCGTGCGTTGCCATGACGAATATCATAGAGTCCGAAGCGTATTTTATGAGACGCATTGAAGAGGCAGGAACGTCGGATGCATCGCGTGCAAATCTGAGAACACATGGGCTGACAACTCTCGGAAAGCTCGCCTTCGCATGTGGTCAACCAGGGACCCCTACGCCGGACGACGTGTTCGAGCGTTTCGCAAATGCAACGTTAGGAGCCATGGCATCTATATAGGGGATTGCTCGACGCTCAAACGCCTTTTGTTTGAGTCTCACTGTCCTCAGTCAGTTTTTTACATCCTGAGGCCGTTGCTACTCGTAGAGTTCCACAGGTCGAGCGCGAAGCGCGCATGGATTCACTGAAAGCACGACTTCCAGGCGTCATTACCCAGAGACAACTCGAACCAGCTCACGATCTTTTAGACAGAGCTGCGCAGATGTGGGAACGCATGGAAAGAGCAGCAAGCAATTGAGCATTGACACAGAAAAGCTGCTGATCAAGGAGACGAAAGATACTCCCGATCAAGCTGCAGGAAATGATTTGCAAGTTTTCGAAGCATGAGGCGCAGAGGCATCGCCCTCGCCTTCGCAGATATCATGTCACGGGACGCCCGCGAAACTTATACCCAAGAGCTTGTCCAGCGCATGCGCGCCGAGGCGCCAGCAGGATACGTTCGTCCAAGTACACAGCAATTGCTCAAAGCAATCGGCAGTGTTTCACAAAGGTCATTCGCGGCGGTGTCAGCGTTCGTAGAAACGGCGCAGGTGGATTAGACATGGACAGAATGTTGAGCCAAGCACTTAGTTCTGCCGAAGTCAGCTTTCATTTGCTGCCGCTGCGGAAGCCTGCAAACCCACCAACCTGGATAGGAGACAAGCAGAGTGAGTGGCGTTTCCAGCCCTACTGGAACCAGAAAGGTAAAGGTAAAGGCAAACCTGAGAAGGGCGGCAAAGGAAAAGGCAAAGGGAAGCCCAAAGCCCAAACCTTCCTGCCTAAAGCATTGCAAGGAAGAGACAATGTCGGTATTGACTCGCATGGCCGTCGCATGTGTTACAACTTCAATTTAGGTAAGTGTGACAAAGCCGCCGCAGGAGCACAGTGTTCGAATGGATTCCATCTTTGTTGCCGAAGGGATTGCCACGCGCCGCGTGCAGAGAAAGACCATGACCAACAGACATCGTCACGACAAGTTGAGCGCGTC